AGACTTGCCACGGTCTCCAACCCTCCTCCTTTCTCATCCGGGCTTGGGACCGGCCATGGCGGAGTTGAAGACCGAGTTTTGAACAGCTAATTGTCACACAGCCTTCAAAAGATATTTTGAACAAATATGACTAGTTGATGAGTGTCGATGAGAGTCATAACCTCGAAGGTAGGAGATTGTTATTTGCTTGTAGGTTGCATTGGGCCATTTTTAGGGTGGCGTAGTGACTGGAGCTCGTATCCAGTGCGTAACAACATGCAACAACCCGGAACGCTTCGTCGGATTCTGTTGCCCCGTGTGCCCAAGATGTACGATGGTGTTTACTCTCGTTTACCAAAACAACGTTTTTGACCAGGTTCTCGTTTCAGCTAGCAACCTCACCGCACCTTCTTCTGTTGCCGAACTGACCACCATGCAAGACCCGTGTGTCCAGTGCCAGTGTGACGTGAGTCTTAAGCAATGACTAAGAACAAATTTTCAGCCCTTCGCCTTGTACCCGAAAGCTTGCTTTAGACTCACTGGTGCCACTGTTTCCGAACAGCGTGCCCCGTGCTCGATTGTGTGCCAAACCTACAGTACACTCCAGAAAACGCTTGTTGCCCCGAGTGTAAAGGTATGCAAATGCTAATCCGTCTATTGCATTCTCTCTCCCACTGTTTACCAGATTGCGGATAGAAATTGTCGTGAATTTCCCATTACTTGTAACCAGATTTATATTTTGAATATGAAAATGTCGTCCTACCATTCCATACGGCATTTGAACCGGATATTCTATTTCAGTTGGTTTCTGGGAACTCATTCGTTTTTCAATAGTCGCCGTTTTCAAGGTAAGCTCAAATGGCGATTGCCAAGCTTGACAATATCAAGGGTTCGAATGTGCATGAACGATGGAGGAGAGTTCCTGTTTTATTCCTTGAGAGCTTTTCTTGCCTAAAGATGCTAGACTAATCCGTTTGTCTTGCCGTGCGGTCCCTTACTTCGGTTGCAGCCAGCTCACTTCCCCACGTGAACGTAGAGGTGGGATTCCAACGATCAGATCTCTGGAGCCACATATATGCCCTCTGGGAGAAATCAAAACAAATCATCAATATCTGAATGGGAAAGATTGCCTTACCTAAAACATTGGTCTAGCCGCCTTCCCTTTAATATTTTTAATAAACGAGCGATGAATAATGTAGGTTGGATCATTCGTTATAATATATATAACGTGTGTGTAGTTTTGTACATATGTCAGCAAATATGTAGTTTTGTCTCTTTGCATAATACCTCAACTTACTTTCCATCGTTGCAGTTCCGCGCGAGGAAAAGCTGACGGATCACACGTGCATATTCCAGGATAAAGAGTACCAGTACGATCAAAGTTTCAGACCAGATCCGTGTACACTATGTGTTTGTCAAGTAAAAGGCGTATCACAGTTACGCGTAGATGATGCTCATTCAAAATCGCCTTCTAGGATGGTGCTATCGTTTGTCGCCGATTCGTCTGCCCGGACGTCCACTGCCCCGCGAGGCGACTTCATTATGACTCAAAGCTGTGCTGC